GTCCGCGATAACAACATCGCTACAAAGAAACTGCCATCACCGGTCCCTGTCTACAATGCAGATGGCACGCATAATGCCGGCGGTGCTATCACAGACTTCGTTGAATTAAGGGTGGAAATTCAGAACCATGTAGAGCGACTTCCTTTCGCAGTTACCAATCTAGGGAAGACTCCAATCTTCCTTGGATACGAGTGGTTACAGATTCATAACCCATCTATCGATTGGCAAGAGCAAATCATTCAGTTTGATCGGTGCCCAGTTACCTGCAAATACGCAACCCGATTAATAGATATTGATGCCGATCATGAGGAGCCCAGCGATCCGGAGGCTCGCCTAGAAGAAGGGGATAGAATCTTCATTTTAGACCATGAAACGTACTTCGCGACGGGAACAACACACATTCGCACCACAGCCACTGATCTAGCGATCAAAGAAAGCCTGAAACACGAAGCCAAGACCTTTGAAAATACTGTCCCGAGTCACTATCACGACTACTCCGACGTATTTAGCAAAGAAGACTTTGATTCTTTACCGCAAAGACGACCGTGGGACCATGCGATCGAACTTACATCAGGCACGCAACCAATCAGTTGCAAAGTTTACCCTATTTCTGTAAACGAACAAAAAGAACTTGATGAGTTCATAGAAGAGAACCTCCGAACCGGGAGAATCAGACCATCGAAATCTCCGTGGGCTTCTCCTTTCTTCTTCGTAAAGAAAAAAGATGGACGACTTCGACCCGTACAAGACTATCGAAAGCTGAACGAGCTAACGATAAAAAACCGCTACCCACTTCCTTTGATACAGGAACTAGTAGACAAGTTGAAGCAGGCGCGGTACTTTACGAAACTAGACGTCCGATGGGGATACAACAACATCCGCATCAAAGAAGGAGACGAAGAGAAGGCAGCATTCCTAACAAATCGAGGACTATTCGAACCGCTTGTCATGTTCTTTGGTCTCACCAATTCACCGGCTACATTCCAAACCATGATGAACGACATATTCCGAGATCTCATTAGTCAAGGACACGTAGTAGTCTATCTAGACGACATCATGATCTTTACTCAAGATTTAAAAGAACACCGTTGGATCACGCGGCAAGTTCTTCAGATCTTAAGGGAACATAAACTTTATCTGAAACCGGAAAAGTGCGAATTCGAGAAAGCAGAAATAGAATACCTCGGGATGATAGTGGGAAAAGGAGTTGTTCGCATGGATCCCGTCATGATAGAAGGAGTTGTCAATTGGCCACGGCCCGAAAGTAAACGAGACATTCAGGCATTCCTCGGATTTACCAACTTTTACCGAAGATTCATCCGAGATTACGGCAAAATAGCAAAGCCACTCAGTTCACTAACGGGCAATGCTACTTTCGAATCGACCGTCGAACAAGAAGTAGCTTTTACAAGCTTAAAGGACGCCCTCTGTACAGCACCAGTACTAGCCATACCTAATGACAACGACCCATATCAAGTAGAATGCGACGCCTCGGACTTCGCCATAGGAGCGGAATTAGCCCAGAAGCAAGATGGCAAATGGAAGCCTGTTGCCTATCTGTCAAAAGCCATGACAGCTGCCGAAAGGAATTATGAGATTTACGATAAGGAACTTCTCGCAATCATGACTAGTCTTGATGAATGGCGTCAGTACCTTATGGGCGCCATACATCCGTTTGAAATATGGACGGATCACAAGAATCTAGAATACTTCCGGAAGCCGCAGAAGCTCAACCAAGGACAAGCCCGATGGGTAACCGAGCTAGCGGAATATCAATACTCGTTACATCACAAGCCCAGTAAATCTAATGGCAAAGCCGACGGACTATCTCGCCAAAAAAGGCACAATGCAGGAAAAGAGGACAATTCCGATATCATATTACTGAAACCAGAACATTTCCGTGCCTTGATTCGTAGTACTGTATTTAGTTTAGAAGGAATCGACCAGGACTGGGTCGCAGAAATTAAAAACACAAAAAGAACCAAGATTCGTTAGTTACTGTAGCTCTACAGAACAAGGACAAAGACTGGAACGAAGATAGTACCGGACTCGTGACATGGAAGAATCGTATTTACGTACCAGTAAATAGAAAACTCCGTGAGCAAATCATTGCTCATCACCACGATACCCCATTGGCTGGACATCCTGGTCAATACAAGACACATGAGATGGTCACACGTAACTACTGGTGGCCCCGAATTCGAGAAGATATCAGGAAATATGTGGCTGGATGCGAGAAATGCCAGAAGACCAAGGTTCATACAACGCGCCCTACCGGACTTCTATTCCCCAATGAAATTCCTTCACGACCCTGGGAAGTAATCTCCGTTGACAAGATAGGCGTATTGCCGGACTCTTTCGGATACAACGCCATCCTCGTAGTCGTCTGCATGTACTCTAAGCAGATAATCGCGATACCGAGCACCATTGAGCTTAACGCCGAAGGATGGGCAAAGGCACTCCGAGATAACGTAGTCACACATCATGGATTACCCCGAAAGATCATCAGCGATAGGGGAACTGAATTCAAGAATCAGTTCATCTCTGAGTTGTACCGATCACTCGGAATCGAAGCCAACCCTTCAACCGCGTATCACCCTCAGACAGACGGACAAACGGAACGCATCAATCGCGAGATAGAACAGTATCTCCGATTATTCATCAACTACCGACAAGCGGATTGGGCCGAATGGTTGCCGCTCGCAACCTTTTTGTATAACAATAAAGTCCACTCATCCACCGGGTATACTCCGTTCTTCGTCAATAAAGGGTATCATCCTTACGAAGGAATCCAACCGGTGCGAGAAGGACTAAGCAAAAATGTCCAACAGTTTGTCGATAGAATGGATCGCGTACGCGAGGACACTAGCGCCGCTATCAGTCTAGCGCAGGAGACGATGAAACGCTTCTACGACCGAAAGAGGAAGAACGGACCAGAGTACAAAGAGGGGGATAAAGTTTGGCTAGAAGGGATAAAC